TTGCACAAATCCTCCATGTTTTTGAGTAAGAACTGCAGTTCTGAGCTGGCTGGGAAGATTGGGAATATTTTGAGGGGAGTGGTTATTAAAAGATCTTCCAGGTACCTTGGGCTCCCCCTGGGTATTGGTGCTTCTAAAAAGGATGCTTTTCAATTTGTAGAGGATTCTGTGAGAGTAAGAATTGAGAGTTGGAAGAACAGTTTGCTGTCGACTGCTGGGAAGGAGGTGTTAATTAAATTTGTATTGCAAGCACTCCCAGTGTATGTCATGTCATGCTTTATGATCCCTATTGGTCTGTGTAAGAACATATGCAGGTTAATGGCTAGATTCTGGTGGAATAAGAATAGTTCTAATGATCACAGCCTGCACTGGAAAGCATGGGAGAAGATGGCTATTCCTAAATCTGATGGTGGGTTGGGCTTTCTGGATATCAGAACCATGAACAAAGCTCTAATTCTTAAGCAACTCTGGAGGCTTATTGACCAGCCTGAGCTTCTGGTGTCAAAAGTGTTGAAGGCCAGGTATTTCCCAAACTCTTCTATCTTTGACTGGCAGTTTTCACATGGGAATTCCTGGTTATGGAAATCTTGGTCTTCTGTTATCCCTGTTCTTAAAGACCATCTGAATATTCTGATTAGAAATGGTGCTGATGTTAAGATCTCTGATCACAAATGGGTCCCTGGAATTATAGGAGGCAAACCCTCTCTTAGGGTGCAGATTGATGGCCAGATGTTTCTAGTTCAGGATTTGATTTTAGCTGGTGGTTGTGGTTGGGATGAAAACCTGGTTAAGGCTTTGTTTTTAGAGGAGGATGCTGATAGAATCTTGCAGATTAATTCTTTAGATCCCAGGTTGGCGGACCAGTGGAATTGTTCTTTTGTGGACAAAGGGAAGTTCTCAGTTAAGAGAACTTATAAGTTTCTTGCTGCTGGGTTAGTGAGCTCTGCTGAGGGAGCTGAATGCAGTCTGATGGCAGGTAACAACAAAAAAGCCAGACTTAGATGCTGGAACTTGAAGATCATGGGAAAGGTGAAACACTTTATATGGACTTGTTTCTCTAACATTCTGCCAGTAAATGTGAACCTGTCATCCAGGGGGCTTGATATTGATATAATTTGCAAAGTGTGTGGTGAAGCTGAAGAGACCCTTGACCATGTGTTGTTCCAATGTGATAGAGCAGTGAGGGTGTGGCAGATTGCTCCAGTTCAATGGAACAGAGTTAGCCAAGAACAACTGAGTTTTAAGCATTGGTGGTAGTGGATCAGTTCTATGACTTCCCAAGCTGTGTCAGAAGAGAGAATCCAACTGTCCACTTATATTTTATGGTGGCTGTGGAAAGCAAGGTGTATCTGGGTGTTTGAAGGACAAATGCAGCCTGATATTTGGATCATCAAGGCTGCTATGAGAGATTGGGGTGACTTTGCTGATTGTCATTGTATTTCTTAATGTGTGAAGACTAAGGATGGGCTAGGCCTTGGCAGTGGTCAGTCCTTAG